CGCAGAAAATTTGTGGAGAAGAGGTCAGTTCGAAGGACAGTTAATATTGCATAAAGCAAATTAACAAAGGGTGACGTCACACGACTGTGTCCTCACCTGTCTTGAATTGTATCAAACACTGCACAGGACGAAACGGGACCTGATGCACCAAAAATGCTGATCAGCGTCTTCTTTGTGCCCCCCTCCTCCTCCTCCTCGTCGGGGGAAGTAGCAACATTTACCGCAGCGACGGCGTGGTTATTTCGTCCAACCGCGAAGGGAGCCCGTTTTCGCCAGCGCCGGTCTCTTACCAGATACTCTTCGATGGTCGTTGAGTAGTTTCCGCCAATAACAAAAATTCTCTCTTTCATGCAGGAAAAAAGAAGGAACGTAAATGTGAGGAATGAGAATGGAACTGCCAAATTCGCTGGTATTGAAAATAACTATTCACGCCAGTCCTGACAATACGTTAGATGATAAAATCAGTGTATCTTATTGTCTCCTGATACGCAGCCAAACTGTCTGTTGGATAAGGACGCGAAAAATCAACAAACTGACCACATAGCTGGAGACTTCGATAGATAAATTTTCACTAATGAAAACTTGAAGTGCAGAATGTTTTTACGATCTCTTTGCGATAAAGTATTTAACGCAAGCGCTTAAGAACAACCTTAAAAGCTCGAATTGTTTAGCCCTATGCATGATATGGTGACACTGGTGCTAAGTGTGCTACTTCAGCCAGAAGGTACACTATACATTTTTTTAAATGTTTCGAATAGCTTGAGTAACTGCCAGGCAACTCACCGTCCACAACGGTGTAAGAAGCCGAGTCGCGTGCCTTCATGTCTGCAACTCGTTCTCCCGTTTGTAAATCTAAATCGAAGGCTAAGACAGACCACCGGTGGTTCTGATTTTCCTTCTCCCCAAGGACGAGAAATAATTGTGCTTGCGGGTGGGCCATTTTTGTGTGTGAAACCACGGCAGAAGCAACAGATTACTATGAGTGTTATACTCTCTTCTTGTATACTGGCTTTAAACTGTGCGCCAGCATACAGGCAAGCACCGATGAGCTAAAGGTTCTGATTGAACGATTCCAAAGACGGCACGAATGAGTAAGCAAGAGTGCACGAGTTCTTGTTGGTCTTAGTTACACTGGCTTGAAGTTGTAGGTGACTTAAACTGAGTTGCGAATGAGAAAACCATGCTGTTATGGGAAACTGCATTTTAGGTAATAAATTCGAGTCGGAGGTTTGCTGATGCATTTGGTGAAAACCGCATGTTTACCGTATGCACAAACTCGTTTGGCAAGTAGATGTAGACAATAACAGATATGTCTTGCTAAAGACAGACTGGTAAGCCAAATAGCAAAAAATTAACAGCAAGGAACGTAATAGTACTCCACTAGAGGTGACCGAAACTAGTGGTCATCCAATTTGCTGACTTCATTGCGGCCTAAGAGTCACTTTCCCTAGCATCCTCTGGTGGAAAACCGAGTTCGGTGGCATGCCAGCGAAGAGTATAGCTATGGTTTAGGTCTAATATCTTTCCACAAATACATACAGTAGATTCCCTATATCATGAAATTTCACTCGGAATTTAAGAACATATTAATTGCAGATGGTTATAATAGAGACGATCATATAGCCTAATCTCAACATATTTTAGACACTTCAGGATGCCGGCTTTTTAAAGAGCTTCTTTCTAACCGCCAAGAAAAAGTATGTACTACAAAAAAGTAGCTTCTTAATTGGTATGCCTTTTCGTCACTGATGTTGACTGTCTTTGTAGCCAATTAATCCTTCTTAAAATGTTATACCAAAGGAAAGAGTATCTGTCGGTTTTAAAAAAAAGTTTCTTAATTGCCGAATAATGTTGAAACCTACTGACTGCTACAGTGGAATTCAAGGTTTACAAACTGCGCATTGTGTACATCCCTTTTAAATAAAAGTAAGTTTTCGCCTAGAGTTTGAGTAAGATCTTACATAGTTCTCATAAAATATAACAATGGATATGGAGCACGCTTTATAGAGTAAAGGAAGCATTAACAAATTGATGGATACGATGTTCTATGAATGAACACCTTACAATTGTAAAGAAGCTCAAAATTTGAAAATTTTTTTAAAACCAAAAGATACGCTTCCTTTAAGTATACAATTTAAAGAAGGCGTAAATTGCTAAGAACAGAGTACAAGAAATAATGTTTCGTGCAAGTTTTCTTAAAATATATTCTAATTTATAAAGGCAGTCCAAATAAATAAAAAAAACATACTACATAAGTAGCAATTATTATGATGCATACTTTTACTTAGCGGTCAGAACGAAGCTTATTAAAAAGCCGGCAACCTGACTTGACATATATATATTGAGATGAGGCTGTATAATCATCATTATTAAAACCATACGTGATCAATATGTTTGAATCGAAAACGTGTTTAATAATTGTGTGTGACATTTCATGAGGTAATGAATCTACTCGTAGTACTGATGCTCCCACCTAATTGGTAATCGATCGTTCGCTCAAGAAGGTTGGATCGTATTGCACATGCTGCCTTACTGGGCCATTGCGCAAAGGCACCAATACGCTTTTACTAGCGTTACCTTTGCAGGCGTTCACCGGATTACTGATATTGACTATACCGTCAACGTCCCTCTGCTAGTCGGAAGTTGTAGTACGTAGAAGCTGTGGTATTACGGGTGACTTAATGCGGTAACTTGGTCAAGTTATCCATAAAATATTTGTGAACTGCATCGGTGACCCAAACAAGGAAGACTTTGTGAGTAGTTAATGAGGAAGGCAGTAAGAACACAGTTTCAAATACATTGTGTTGAACCTGCTGATCAGTGGGCAGCGTACGCAACATCTCCAACACCATGATACTGGTAGGCTTTTAAGGTCCTTGGAATGTATTTATAGACAAATTGCAAACTGTTCATTGCCACAACGATCTACCCGTACCAGACTCCATCGCAGTCGGGCCTCCTTCATCGTTGTGAATATAAGGTCATAGGTATGGATACAATAATAGATGTGTTCTACCGCCACTGCATGAAGACCACTTTTCGGAAATCCATTGTGCATTCAGTCACCATCGTCGAAGATTGGAGTGAGGCAGGTTTTCCAATATCCACTGATCCAGGTCGGCATGCAGGGAGAATTATATTTCGCGAAGTATATGGGGTTGTCCGATGAAATATGATTTGAAACATATCAAATTCAAGTAAATTAGCACTCCGGTTAAATTTACTAGATACGTCATTAACAACTGATGCACTAAAAATCTGCAATATGCTAATTTCTGTGCTGTGGGTCTTGGAGGATCCGTGCCTGGTAAAGACGACCATCGAAAAATGAACAAAATTAAACAAAAACGCTCTTCTGGACACAATTC